GAGCCTGTACTGCTGGAATGAGAGGAGGCACATTCAAGCCATGAGCGGGTCTCTAATACCCACAGCCCAAAGAAAACCATCAGATGTGTGCCCTAAGGAGCCCACCAACCTGCTCTGCTCTCCCCTCTGCCCTGCCAGCTCTGCCTCCAACCTGCTCCCACTCCTCCCATCTGGTGAGAGAACCCCAGCATCCCTGAAGCCTCCCACTGCCACACATTGTGACTAACGCGCTGTGCTTCGCCCATCGGTTGCTATGATGGAAACACTCAACTCACACAAATATTTAGCAAGTTTTTAGCAAAAAATGCTCAGAATCACACTGGATGGGATCATGGCAATGTAAGATTAATCCTTTGAAGAACAGAACCTACTCAGATCTGTCACAAGATAGTTGCTATGGTTTTTTGACACAGCTTAGCAGAAATTTGCTTTGGCTGCAGACTGGAGGAGGAGAGAAACACACACAAAAAAATACTATAGAAAAGTCCTCTATTGTACACCAGCAATTATTCTGAGCAAAATCCTGTGCCTGTCCAGAATTTCAAGTCTGTATAAATACTTTCAATTAGATTTTTTAAAAAAAAAAGAAAAAAAAGAGGAGACCTAAGAACAGACGGCTTGAAGCATGTCTTGTTAGCTATCAACAAAGTCTGTTAGAAATGTTGGAAGGTTTCATCTAGGTTGATGTAAAAACAACATGAAATATCCCCTCCTGTGAGGCTAAGTTAAATGTTCTTTGCAGTGACTCAATTAAGGCTAGGTAAAATGCACGGTTCATTGCAATCAGCTGCAACAACATCAGAATCTTTTAGTGAGATACTTCACCAAAGTCTCCTGTTTCAACTAGTTTTGAAATGTTTTGTGGCAGATGGCAGTTTTTGTAGATGTAAAATATTCCAATACAAGGGACAAGTTCTGCCTCAAACGTCCAACAAATTAGGAATGAGCAGTTGGCCAGGAAAGGCTTTTCAGAATGTCTAAAAACAGGTGCTTCCCACTTTATAAGGTGTAAGAAGCCACAGCAGTACGCAGGAGTTTTAAGGTTCCATCCCCATCTGGAAGAAGAACTTTTCTGCATATATTTTGAGTGACACCACTACAGGCTTTTCTCATCACACCCACAAAAGGAAGATTCTGCTAGACTGGAGAAGTTGCTAAGTTCATTGCTTATATAAGAATCTACAGAAACTGCCATCGTTTAGCAGCCTTGGAAACATAAAAATCTGAAAGATGCAGATCACCTCACCTCCCCAGAAGCACTGCATTAGGGTTGTCCATCTACAGCCAACAAGCATCTAACCAGAATACCCAGACCCAGGAGGCACAACTTCCAACTCTTTTAATTTGGGTTTGTATATTTAAGTCAGATGATATTATATTGACATGACACAAATCAGTGCAATGTAGCCAAGGCAGCTTGGAAGATTTCACCTGCATTACACAGCAGGAGAGCTCTGTTACCTCATAAATCCAGTCTACAAGAAGAATTATTCCAAAATAAGCACTATGGCTGATAATACTACTGTTACCCAAATCTGCTTATTCAAGTAGGACTGCATTATGTCCCACAAATATTTTGATCATTTCTTGAAAACCTGTTCCCAAATCTCAATTAAGACTATTCAATATTTTATTAATTAATTCAAAATTAACCTCAGTAGTCCAAAGTCAGTTTTTATCAGATGATCATCCAGCCCACAAGAACCATCAGAAATCATAAATTACATAAGATGAAAGAACTGCCTGAACGCAAACATTGGCATGTATTTTGTTGGACAAGCAAGATGTCAAACTGTTTATCAAGTGGAAGAAGTTCTTGAAAATAGCTTCACACTTCCCAGCTGAAAATGTTGTGTAACTATCAGATTTTTTCATTAATGCAATTGTTCTAAAGCAAATTTTAATTTAGAAAGACATGTTCCAGGGTAGGAGGAGAAAGCACAGTTCGCACCATGACAGATGCAGAGCAAGTGCTGAGGAAAAGGTAGCAGGCTCAGGTGTAAATTTCTACTTTGCATATCTCCCTGCCTAAAACCTCAGCAAGGTTTTGGTTTTATTCCAGTGCAACATATTGAAGACTCAGGATGACTTTCAGGACAGGAAAAAATCCAGCTCCACAGAAATTTTTCTATTTTAAATATTCCTGATGTCTGTGTGGTTGCTTTAAAATCTGACCTAGAGTTCTATGGGGTATGAGAACAGTGTGCTGATTTTCTTTTACCCTCTGTGCATTAGAAGAAATGATGACAGAATATTTCAGCAATTATCTGCAACACATTTAACAGCTAGATTCAGATCACCAGACTGAAATAATCAAAGGATTTTTTCATGCGCTCTTTAAATATAGGTCTACCATTGAATGCAATGTAAGTTACATGTGAAAATCTGTAATTTGGCTACATTTATAAGTACATGTTTAACATCATCAGTGCTCTTCCCACTGCTTCACTGAGTGCTTCGGACTGCAGCTATATTTCCACTGGTTTTACTTTCAGTGTCCTTGCTTTTAAGCAGCTCCCTTATTGCGATTTCAGTCAGACACCTTCTGCACCTTCTGTCCCGTTGGTGACTCTTCTTACACCTGCAAGGGTAGCTCTGAGAAACACAAACTGCTTATTCTCAGGATCTGATGTAAGTTGTCCAGTAACACTGGAAATGTTCATTTAGCAAACTGCCACTCCCACAACTATCTAATCTAAAAACTAATTAAATGTGTGATGGTTAACATTTTTGGTTAATTTTTTGTCCATGTGTTTTCTTTGAATTTCTATAGCTATGATAGTTCACATCAATATGAAACAACATTCATGTCACCAGTGACTAACAAAACTGGGCAGAATTCCCAGGTAGGATTTTCCTCCATCAGAACAAGAAAGTTGGAGCTGACAGATGACAAGTGAAATTACAGCATTTTTTTCCTGAAAGCTGTAGCACTAAGCAGTTAAAAAAAAAGTCTCCCTCCAGTTTTTGGGAAGTAAAGAAGAAAAGCAGCTAGCCTTATCTAGACATTTACAGTCCTGTTCTTCATGAACATGGGCATAGTTCCTCTTCATTGTGCATCAAGGATTTCCCGGTAGTTTTATTCTTAGACAAATGTGACAACTCACCCTCTTGAAATGTCTGCTTCCACAAAGAGAACTTACATGACTGCGAAACTAGACATTCATCCTTACAGATTCTGTGTGTTTATCAATTGCCCACACAGAAAATGCATCACAGGAAACTAGGAGTACCTCGTTACCTATTTCTGTCTTCAGGCAATTCAAGTTCAACACACTTCCAATAACAATATGTTCACACATTGCCCATCTCCTCCAGTCATCTCTTCAAGCTGACAAGTGGAAAACAATATAAATGATGAGACAGCACTCAGTTCCCCAATCTAAATCAATTAATGGTGGCCTCAGGGTGTACCTTCCTTTTAGTTTGAATCAGAAGCACACCTCTTATCTGAGTTTAATGATCATTCCCACTTACTGTGCTTTCATTCAGGCTGTAGAGCACTCTTGGAGAGTGGTCTTTTAGATGCAGTGCAGACAGTGGGTGCACTTCAAAAGTACATCTAGTGTCCTGCAACTGCAAACGGGATCTGCTGCAGTGGAATCAGCTTCTCAGAATCAACTCTCTTGTTAAAGGAAGTGCTCCTATTAGGTGGTGGTACCTTTTAAGGTAGACATAAGCTCAGGCACTTAATTCCAGGAGAGAAGTAAAGCATAAAAACTAATTGGAAGGAAATCTTTTGTTTCTATCACTTGTTTTACTCCTGGCTAGCTGAGCTGGCCTCTGAAGATCCCTTCTGTAGGATCCAGTTATTCTCAGGTTATTGGCTGAGAGCTGTAACTATCTCAGGGTTCAAGCTCCCCTTAAGCGACATGGCCTCTAGGAGCCTGAAATCATTTAATATCCAGGAAGAAATGAGCAACATGGCAGTACTGCAGCAAAAGAAATAATTAGCAGGTAAGTCCTAGAATATTTGAGAAATAACTCTCCCTTTCAATACATCTCAAACTGTACAGACATATGCAAAGCTTTCTACTCCACTAGGTGGTGTAATTTGTCTTTCTGTCATAAGTAACCTTAAAAATATTCCTCCGAGTATTTCACTGAAGATGGGGCCACAAAATATCATTTGAAATGTGAAATATCATGTGAAATGTTGCCTGTGGGAGTCAGAAGCTTTATCATGTCATTCCTTTTTGATGTTTAACTGTTATGATTCCATTAAAAAAAAAATCTGCTGTTCAGGAAAGGATAACTTACTTCTAAAATATTTTTAGATTCATAGAGGAATACAGTATGAACCTGAAATAAAAAATATCATGTTCTATTTCGCCTTACATACAGGTGACTTAAGTTTATGTGATCTATCTTAGGATTTTTTCAGTGTAAAATTCTTAGCAGCTCTTAGTTCTTTGTATTTTATGTCCGATTTACAAGCTGATGCAGTCAAACTATCCCTAGATCCTTCTTGGCGAGTTCAGTTTGCAGTTTGCACAAGTAGTTACATATAGGAGAAGCAGAGAATGCCAGCCTGCCTAACAGGATGCATGTTGGTGGACATACCCTGGCTAAAGCAACTCTTTGAGGGATAGCTGAAACAAAAACAACTTCCTTGGCTGGTGCCATACCAACTACTGGCTCCAATTAAAGCTAAAGTTCAGATAAATTCAGATTGTACGTCTTTTAAAAAAAATATCTCAAGCATAGTTTGGTATTTAGACATTTGGAGACATTTACTTGTTCATGCTCACTAAATAATAACACATACAAAAAAAAAAATCTAGGAAGCAAGAATCCAAACAGATCATTAACAGCATTCAAGAGCTCCATAGCTACTAATCTGCTACATAGTTCAAGTCTTTCCCTAATATTCAGCAACAGACGAAGGATATAACTAGGTAATTTTTATTGCACGTTTCCAGGATGGCTTGTAGATGGTTGGGTTTTTTTGGTGTGGGTTTTTTTGTTTTTTTTTTTTGTTGTTTGTTTGGTTGGTTGGTTTTTTTTTTGGTAGTATTAAGTTTAAACAGAAGTCAGAAAAAAACAAAACAAAGCAAAAAACCCAGAACAATGAAAGAGACAGTCGTCCAAAGCACAAAACTGAATTGAACAAAACCCATCTGACAAACTGGAGCAATCTCAGCTGTCCTATTATTGCCTGCATACTATCCACCCATAACTTTGCTTGCCCTTGGAGAAGTGACACTGGTAACAGAAGCATTTTTTAATGAACACAACCATGAAAAACTCAACCAAGAAACATATTCAATATAGAGGGAATCATCACCTTTTACCACTGAAATTTTTCTGTACTTCCTCACACAGTCTGCAAAAAATTCCTGTTAACTCACTGTTCTTGGTTACATACTGCAGAAAAACTGTCTTTTTAATATTATCATCTTGCACACACAATCACAATAAATGGTCTGTGCACTTGTAAATTGATACATATTATAAGCTTCACATTAAGAAATAGAGTGCTCTTTGAAAAAAGTAACCTGAGAAACCCAAAAAATATCATGACGAGTATGTGTTTACATGTACTGGACATAGTATGTACATGCTTTGTCTAATGATTGTTACTGATCAATTTAAACCTAATTCACAGTGTGCTGCAAAATCTTATAGCAGCTGACTGCTTGAAAGCAGTACTAATACACACAGCCCTATTACAGGAAAGAGGCACTTGGTGCTGGACACTTATTCTGAAATTACACTAAGCATTTTCAGTTTGCAGTTTTGTGATCCATTAAGTCACACTGATGCTGACATTAGAACATGCCTCTAAACAGAGCTGGATTTAACAGCTTAAGATAGAAAAGGAAACTTGGCACAGGGACAGAAAGATGCCTAATAGTGGCATCATATCAACAAGGTAACTGCACTCCAGCCTCAACAAACACAGGTTTTACAAATTTTGCTTTGAAAATATCTGAGATGACTGAAATCTGCCCCTATATAAATCTCATGCCTGAATAGCCATAAACTTTCATTTGGATATGGAAGGAAAATGTGATTACAAGAAGATCTAGAGAGATTTATGACTCCCCTGAAACTCAGAGAAGTCCCACAGGTTACGTGCCAGTGCATCAGAGCTTGAGTGAGAGGATTCTTTAAATCAAAGGCTCTGGTTAACTTTAGCATAAATTGCATTGGAGACTTCATCGCCATGCTTCTTCCCGATTGATACAATCTGTGTATGAGGAATAATCCAGATATTGGATTGCACATATTTGGCAGGTCTTGCACCCCTCTTCACAGACAATGGTTTTGTTATAACTCACAATGAAGTTATTATAATACTGCTCAAACAACATGCTATGTGGCACAGACAACTGCTTGGCCATTTCATATAAACTTTCTGGCTTCAAGTCTTCAATGCCGTAAGCTTTAGTCAAGATGTATTCTAATTTCCAGTTCGATTCATTTTTCTTGTTGGCATCTCTGAGGTCCAAGTAAAACTGCCAAAGATCCTACAGTTAAAGAAAAGAAGAAGAAGAAAAAAAAAAAGCACGGCTGTATTGCTTTCTTTCCTGCTTCATTAAGTCTCTAGAGTGATATATTGATTAGGAAGCTGTCACTCCTTATTATTTACAACTGAATAGAAGGTCACGTCCCACCCCAAGAGCTGGGCTTACACCCAAAGCTGGTACATGCAGTGTGGTAATCGTGGGGGGATGGGGAGAAGAAAAAAGGAACACAAAAGGAAACAGTGGCACTGTTAGAAGTTTTTCCTGTCCAAACTGTAAACCAAATGCCACTTTGCTTGTGTCTGGTTTGGGACTGGGGCAACAAGGTGAAACACAGAACTTTTTTTTTTTCCCCTATGGGTACTGCTTGAACAGCAAAATGGAGAGAAAAATAGTGGCCCAGGGAGAATTCCGGGAAAAAGAAATGAAGATATAGGAATGAAATCTGCGCAAAAAAGGAGCAGTCCATATTAGCATAGATCTCCAGAGGAAATCCCCAGTTTCAGTCAAGCCCCAGGATGTACTGCTACTGAACTCAGCAAGGGCAAAATTTTACCCTGAATTACCCAGAGAACACCTAAGTTATTTAGAGCCAAAACAGCTTTATAGGATTCAATTTCTCTCCAAAAAAAATCAAATAAGACTATAGAAGTATCCTAATTTGTCTCTTTCCAAATTTCCTTACAATTTCCTATTAAAAGTAGAAATATTATTCAGAAAGCTACATAATTATAAAAGGCACAGCATGGCTAAAAGAGAGATTTTCTTCATCTGCAATTCTACAACCCTTACAAGCATCTCATGGATTGCCTCCCAAAGCTCAGGCAGTCTCCAGCAAAGATTGGTATATAAACAAGCCCAGGATTTAGGTGAGCTTTTTTCACTATTGCAGAGCTCCTGCTCCTTGCAAGCAGTTTGAGGATTCTGCTCATTTGTAATCATTTTTGCTTCCATATTGTAAGATATTCATAGAGAACAGGAAGTACGGGTAGTCTTGCAAATAGAGACAGACTGGTGAAATTGTCTTTCAGTGACTGGTGAATTTGCTTTTCCCAGGAAGAAAAACAATGGTAAGAACCTAAGTTCCACCGATTACCATAATACTACTAAGGCTGACATCCTGCTGTAATTTGTAATGACAATGTACTTAAGTATTTCAAAAGCCTTAAGCATGTTTTAAAACCCTTACTTACCAGCAAGCTATAATTAAGGAGATCATATTGATACAATCTGACACCTGGGTTATTGGACTCCATTTGCCATACATTCTTCACTGGGGTTACAGCAGGTGCCACAAACAAGGAATTTACTGGCTTTTCTGCAGGAAAAGGAAAGATGAGGTAACAGTTACTTTTTAGTCATTTATTTTTTAAAGAATGTTTTTGGGGAAAACTAGTACAGCAAGAACTATAGTTACTGACTTAGGTACATCACAATTATTTATTTATTTATTTTAACCCTGGTTTAGCTGCATCACTTTGCACTCCTTCTGTACTTCCAGTGGGTAGACCAAAAAAAATTGGTAAATTACCACAGCCCACATTCCACTGCATCTCAGTGAAATTTATCTATACTGGAAGCTTCCCACCAATTCAACTACCTAAGTGCTAAATGGTCTTGTCTACTATTAAAGTCTCTTTATTTTGCATATTTCTACTGAAAAAATATTCTGAACTTTCAGTCTTCATGTTGTACTTTACATGTTGCTCTTTGTACTATTTCTTCATGTAGTTATAATATTATTAGAAACATTAAGATATCATAAACTGTTATCTTCACACATTTAGACCAGCCCAGAACCTAGGATGTGAACGCTTCAGAGTAACTGAAACATGAGGATGTGCAAAGGTTTCAATAAATAAAATATACGGCAATGATATTTTGAGGTTCCCTGTGGAAGAAAAAGAAATACAAACAACCTTAACTACTCCTTTCTCTGACAACACAGCAGTGAAACCGCAAGGCCAGAAGCTTTGAAAGCTAGGAAATCAGCAGATACTTCTAGAAGAGATAGTCTGTATCTCAGCACACTGATGTTGGCTACATCAATCAGTATGATATGAACTTTGAATTCTCTGAAATTTTGTTTAAAAGAAAAATGACATCAATAAAAGAGAGCCTAAAACAGTACAAATAAACATGAGCTGCATTTAGCTACATTAAAACTCACTGTTTGAATTGTCAAAAAATGCAAAATTATTAAAATAATCTGGAAGCTGCTACTTGCATATGAAAATTTTTATAAGTTCTGTATTTCTTGAGTGAAATTTGCAGTATGGGTGTTGATTTCATGCACAAATAGGACAAGGTCCAAAAATATGTGGGTATATGTCTGCCTTGAAAAACCATTTAAACATATCAAAGGCCATTTCTTTCATTTGGATTGGATTCCTTTTTACTTGGCATTAATTCTATGATAATTGCATGCAAAAAGGTAAACTCGAGTACAACATATCTTGGCAGTTGTCTTGATCTCTTTGAGTAAACCTATCACTGTATATGGACAGTTGGACTAATGATCTTAGAGGTCTTTTCCAATATTAATGATTCTATGATCCCAGTCATTATTTCAGGCACTACTTTTAGGAGTTCATATAAAGCATAAAGATAAAGAGACACTTAATATTTGAGTATTTTAGATAAACCAAAGCAGTGGACCACTCACTACAGTATATACGCAAATATCTATTTCACTAGGTAATTGTTAGAGAGGTTCAGTTAAAGATGTAAAAGTACATACATATCCATGATTAAAACTAAGGGATTTCAAAGCAATAAACAAAATTTTCAAACCTGGGTGCTTTTTATGAAGGGAAATTAGCTGATCTAAGAGATGCAACAAGGAGAGACTTTTTTCCCCCTGCCTCCTGCTTACCCTTATCTTAATTAACTTCAAAGCAGCAGGGAACTCAGCAGAGAGGCACAGTAATGATGCAGGAAACATAAGAACACAGAGCATGTCTAGTTGGCCTGAGAACATTCTCTTTGACACATTACACAATAGCAACTAGCTAGTACAATTTGCCCCTGTCACTGAGAAAGTAGAGAGCTAAGACTAGAAATTCTTGTCATAAGCAGTTCATTAAAAAAAATAGGAAGCTTGCAGAGTCTCCTCTTATTTCAGCAAAAAAAAAAAAAAAAAAAAAAAGCCTGTCTTGCAAGGTTCCCTTTGGAAAAAAAAAATTGGAAGTGTGCGAGACTTGAATTCTTGTAGAAAAATAGCAGAATTTCCCAGTTTCCATTTATAGCAGAGTCTGACTGATAACACTTACAAGAAAATATTAATTTGCTTTTAATCAAAAAGAAAAAGATAAAGGATTCAACAAACATCACTACCTTCTTCATCCAGGAGGACCATGATACTATCTCTATGTGTGTGTCCAAAAAATTGCCCAGCAATAACACTACTGTATTTGCGAAAAATTTTTACCAGTCTCTCATTGTAATATTCTCTGATAGCTGTAGTATTCCTTGCAAACGGCAAGTATCCTACTGGTACATGTCCTATTACATATACCTAAGGAATTAGATGGAGAAAGCACAATTAGCATCTTCCTTCAAAACTTGCATTTTTAGCTGTAACTTAGCGTTATTATAAAACTGAGTTCATCATTGTTATCTCTGACATGGCATTCTGAAAGCTGGAAATTACAACAGTTTTGTTAGACAAAATACAAACTCTAAGAAAGTTTAAATTTGTAACGAGAAAAGTGTTATTTTCTTCATGAATTCAGTGTATCTTTGAAAAGTTCTGATAAGTCTATGCATGATTATAGCACAAAGAAAAACATTAATTATGTCAAGTGAAAAAAAAAGTTATTACAGCAAGAGTTATGACTTGACATTTCAAGAGAATAATAAGAAAATGTTATATTAGAATATTATAGAGCCGGCATGCTCTGACATTCACCAGAATATAAGAGCTAGTTAAAATCCTTGACTTGGACTGAAAATGGATTCCTACTGCACAAGGAGGAGGACTCTCTCTTTTGTATTATAATGTTTAAAAAAAAAAAAAAAAAACCAACCTATTTTCCTTGTCAGCAAAAAGAAGACAAGATCTGTAAACAGGTTTCAAATTAAACACCTTTCCTGGTCAGCTAACGATCCAATCCCCACATCACTCAATTAAAATGAGCCACCATTTTATAACCTCATTTTAAGAACTGAGTATTATAAGACAGTTAATTATTAGTGCTCAGACTGTAGCAACTGCTACAGCTTGACTAAGTTTTGTGGTTGATAAAATCTTTTTTTTTTTAATACACGCAATTACATAAAAATGTAAAATATACTAATTTTTGTCTCAGACCAAGAGTACACATTTTAATTTTAAAGGCTATGAATAAAAAGATTCAGAAGCAAAAGTGAAAATATTTTCATTCTGGTCCCTACAGTATTGTACATAGTAGGTAGAACAAAGTATTTTACTGCATAATTTCAGAAAGGGTATTCAATTATTTTATTGATTATTGTAATATGTACACAATATGAATATTCAAGGAAGAACTATTAATACATTCACATGAAACTTCAGTTTTTGCAATCTCTTTGCTAACAATAATAACATTTATATTTTCACTGTCCCTCTCTCTTTTTTTTTTAATTGACAAAGTTTAAACAAACCATGCCAGTGGGTTCTGTTCATGGCCCCTACCTTTTCCTTCTTTTGTGAAGAGGCTTCTAGTATTCCCTCCAGCCAGGCCAACTGGTTGGCTGGGTCTGTAATATTCACAGTCACATGGTTTGGGCTGTAATACAAATTTGTGTTCAAACTGATTATCCTGAGTGGTTCAGAGCTCACATTTGATTCAAACAGTTGTGTGTAAAAGCCACCTGTGAAAATAAGATCAACATCATCTGAAAAAAAAAAGTTTCAAACCACTGAAAAAAAAATCTAGCCTTCTTCATTCTAGTAACATTGAACATGTCACATTTAGCCAAGCTGTGTACCACCACCAGAACATCTTAAGAATCTGTTTTCACCAACATTTTAGTAGGAAAAGTTGACACTGAATATTTTATGATATTTTTTTTCTGTAGCTGCTTTTTGTTTGAGTTTTCGTATGCGTTTATCCAGTTCACATTTCTTTCATTGACAGAGATACAATAGCTGCTAAAAGTACACATTCCCTAAAATACTGCAAGCACACAGTTTCCTCATTCCCCTTGGAAGAACTGTTTGAGTTTAGTAGCCTTGTACTTTGAAAGTCTGTTAACTTTAGACTGGAAAATAATTATGAGTAAACATCTTATTTTCTATCAGTTCAAGCTCCTAAAATCCTCCATGGCATAGAGAATATCAGCGAGTACAATTTCACCAGACAGCAATACAGCTGTAACACTATATTTTAAGATCTGCCTTGTTGAGTTTTACTTTCCTATTAGAATTCTTAATTCCATTCTCACTCAGAGGACACAAAACACAAATTAAAATTCCAAATCCATAATTTCTGGGTTGGAAATTGAGTTGAATTTTTTAGTCCTTTGCTAAATGAAAATCATAATAAGGATATAAATAGTTTCCCAGTTTAGGAAGCTGAATACAAACACAATGGAATTAACAATGTAAAAAAGACTATGTGCTGCTACAAATTTAAGAAACATACAGTTACAAATTTACTCTGAAATACATGTAGTATCAAAACAGCGACAGCATTTAATCAATTTCTGTAAAACCAAATTTAACTCTTCTTGTGCATCTAAAAAGCTATTTTTATTATGAAATCCTGAAGGTAGCTTCACAAGTATTTGTGCAAAGCCAATAAAACTGCACTTGTTACAAAAAAGCAGTAGTAATTATTGCATCAGAGGAGAACAAATGTACCCTGAAGATAAACAATGACATACAAAAAGATAAATAACTTCTTCCAGAAGAAGCATTATCAGTTCATTGAACTGATTCAACCTGTGCAACTTACCTGAGCAAAGAGGGCAAATCTGTAGGATTATCAGTTCTCTAAGCCTTAGCCTTACAATATATTACTCATGTGCTTTACCTTTTCTGAAAGTACTGATGGCTTCATCAGTTAGCCAAGGCTTCCAGAAATCTGCTACAGCATCGTAAACTTCACTGGTGGTTACAGGAAGCTGATCCTGTGAGACAGTAGAACTTTCCTAAGTGCTGTCATTCAGCCATATGTATAAAAATAAAACCAACATCCCAACTGACTTTTCTGAAAACACAAGTGTAACCAGTCATCACCAGGAAGAACCTAAGAAAGAAAAGAACTTCTCTCCATCCACTAATGCTGATCAAGAACAAACATCTGAACTTATTCAGAACTGACAGCATGGTCTACATTTCTTGAATGTTAATGCACTGATAAACTAATGCCAGAAATATTTCAAGCCTTAGGAGCACACTTAAGTGGAAAACCATACATTCTGCAAAACTATAAACAGAAGATTTACAGTTCAATTGCCTTTTGAAAATACAGTCTCTTAAAGCAGAACCTTGAACTCAAGTTTATTATATAGAAGATGACTCTTCCATGCAACTTGGGGTACATAGCAGCTCCCCAAAATTCCACTAAGGTGCTAAGAAATATTTTGATGAAATATGCCAATGTATCTTTGACATCATATAGTTCTGATGACAAAGCATTTAAAATATAATGTTTTTTACTCTTTTCTCCCACCTGCTCTAACAAGGATTGTAGTACTTTTCAGTCTAAGCCAAGTAATGCCCAGTTACTGCAGCCTACAGTACTGCCAAGCTCACACCTGAGCCCAACAGGATGATTCCAGCTTATCCTTGTCTTTCCTAAGATAGCTGCTTGGATGCTTAGTGCTAGAAGAAAAAAAATCAGGGGTCAAAAAATAGGAACACTCTTACAGTATATGTTTTCTTAAGCTTAAAATTTGACCTAAGATCTTTGAAACTAAACAGACTATACTAGAGGCTTAGGCAATAAGTCTCAGTCTAGAAGTGGTGCAATCAGGAGTCTGTTCAGACATTTGTTGCTTGCAATGCACAGATATTAGTTACTAAGAAAACTTTGCGCCACACCAGTTCGGCCAGAGTTAAGTCACTAACAGACATAGCAAAGTCTGATTTTAGATAACAGACCACGTTATGGACTGAAAGTAGTTTGGTCTCAGGCTCTAAAAGGCAAACCAGTGTTCTGTGAACACTCAGATCAAGCAGCAGTTAGGGCACTTGTAAGCAGGGGCAAGAATGTGAAACAAAGTGAGCCTGTGCAGAAAAATGAAGGTCACAATACACAACTTGAAAGGTATTCCAGTGCCTGATTAACCTGACTAGTACTTTTAATAGGTTCTGCAACAAGAATCATCCAAGATCATGAAATTGTTATGATGGATAGGTCAGAACATAAAAGAAAGCAATAAAGTTCTCCGGTGCACATAAGCAAGCAGCCTTCACAGACACCCTGGAACAGCATACGGCATGTGGTTTGCTCCACATGGCTTCCAGTCTTCAGCACATCTTGCCAAACATGTCCACAAGAAAAGCAGAAACATCTTCAAAAAAAAAAAAAAAAAAAAAAAAAAAAAAAAACCAACAACCTCGGGGAATTTCTGAACCCACAGTCTTTCTCCAACAGTGATAGAACAGAATGCCAGTTCTGCACATTAGAAAAGTGTGACATTTCAAACAAAGCAACACAGAAATACTTGTGTATTTTAGCACAGAGAAAATACAGCAGTTTTCCCAATGAGCAGCCTGTTTCAAAATGCTATTTGGTGTCCAGTTGCCCCTGCTGACAATCTTTTTTCCACCTTCAAACTTAATTTCATAAACAAGCTCTCATCTGTCAAAAAAGTCACTAGACTCAGAGTTGAAGTCTGACACATGGATTTACTTCATTCTTTGTCTGAAAGGTTACTGTACACAGCTTTTTCCCTCAATACTAAAGGAGAATGCTGAAGGACAACTCCTCTCTGCAAACATACTAATAAATAAATAAATAAGCAGACAAATAAAAATAACCAATTCAGTTAATTAAACTTCATTTAAATGAAGCGTAAAATGTTCTACCAATAGTCTCTGGTGAACCAACCTGATCTCCTGTTATTGCAAATGACAAGGTCAAGCTATACTAAAAGCATCAGAACACAAAAGACTGAAGTCCTCTTCATCCAGGCACCTACAGCTCCAAGCTATGCTATGTGATTAGCTCTGATTTTCCTTCTCATACTACCCATTCCCTTCTCCAAGCATTTCTATTACTCCCAGATTTGGGAACCACTAACTCCAGACAATGATACTAGTATACCAAAATCATTTACTGTAGCAAATATCCCATTACAGGCCTAATGAATAGCACAGAAGGCTGGAATAAATGTCTTTATAAATTATTTTAGTTGACCTGCTAAATGTCCCTTCCAAACCTCTCAGATCCAATGACTGAATTTGTTTCTCAGTCCTGAACACTGCCAGATCAACTTGCAGTAGGACAAATGAAGCAACTGTTTATTTTTGAGCTGTGCCAAGAACAATATCCATACACCACTGAAAGCAAAGAAGCACTGTTCTCAGCTGCAGTGGCCCACATATCCAATAAATTGTCAATGGGAATATTTGAATAAGGAAAGAAAAAAAAGTGATATTTTAATCACAGTCAAAAGTATGGGTATATTGCAAAAATTCTTCCAACAGTCTCTGATTAAAAAAATAAGCCAGTGATGTACATAGGTAGATTTCCAGTAGGTGTTTCAGTATGCCTTGAATCCTATCACATGCTGTCATATGCACTGAGGATGTATCTCTGTCAGGTTGTTACGGTACACACTTGCCCAACTTACACAGCAAGGAAAAATGAGCGTATAAATGAGACACACTGATAAGACCTGGTTGTTCTAAGCTATGAAGAATGATTAGCACCAAATTTGCATCACCTCAGGCAACGTACAGATTTTACCTGACACAAGCATTTGTTTGGGTAATTTAACACACAGATTTTTGTACTTTGTATTCTTGATTGGAATTATTGATAACTTGAAATGCTAATTGGAGAACTGCAGGATCTATTTCCAGAATAACAGTTACACATATTCCACTGCTGTTTTGTTTTTTTTTGTTTTTTTTTTTTTTAAACTTGCCCTCTGAAGAACTATGAACAAATTCAGTATGGTACATAAACAAGTTTCTCATTTGCTCTACCTGTGGCCAGTAATCATGATTTCCCAAGGCTGGAAAAACCTGAAGATCTGGAAAGAAACTATGAATTGTAGAACTCATATTGCCAATGATATTAATGACCAACTTTGTGGAGAGTTCTTCCACTGGAACATGAGGAGGGCTATCTCTGAAAAAAAGAGAAGATTTTATGAACAAAGAATTTAAGATTAGAAGTTGTAAGCTGTAATACTGCTGATTCTAGTTAACTCTCACAGAATCCAAAAAAGGGCATCTTCTAAAAAAAAGAATCCACTTCATATTTAATGCCCTAAAGACTTAGAAAATCCAGCGCCTTCCATGACAATTCATTCCAGTCACTTATTCCTCTGATCTTTCTTTACACTTTAGTTTTTGTCACTCCCACCCTCCCTTCACCACTTCTATTAATTTGCGCTGTCATGTTGTAAATGTCCCAACAAACAATATTTTCAAATGATTACAGAGATTAAGATCTGTTCCTGAGGCCTTATAATACGCACTCAATCATTCACTCACTAGCCATTCAGACAAGAAAACAGACTCTAGAAAGTAGTATTTTTTAGATACTAAAATGAAATGTGTTGGTGCAAATACAAATTTGTGAAGTATTGCTCCATAGAGTGACTTGAACACTTACCCTGTCCAAATCATGAATGAAGCCTGCTGTTTTGAATCCTTCATGAATGTAAATGCTGACAAAATAAGTTCATAAGGAGAATCACATAAAAAGTCTCCAAAAGGGCCTGGGTTAGAGGCATTGGCTCCTTTGGAAGAAGAACAAACTTTGGTGCGATCAGGAGTGATGTGGTAAGTTGGATCTAAGTGCAGATCAGATATATGCCAGAACTGCCCTGTTTTCAGAAAACAAAAGTTAAAGGAAATGCATTATTTCCAACAGGATTTCAAGAATACCATTCCTTATATAGCCTGGAAAAATATATATATATACTTATTAGCTGAATCTAAAGCTCACCAGGAATTGCTGACATTGATTTCTGAAAAATGCAAGTCTTTTTCTTTAAAAAAAAGTAGTAATTTTGTGGCTTTATGATTACAGCTTGCAAACATGAACAGGATATACACGGGTAACTCAAAGTTTGCTCCAGTTTTTCTACTGCCATTTCTCTTTGAAGTTTTGGAGAATTAATTTAAAACAAATTTCTAATTTTCCTGTCTGATAAGTGTGTATGAGAGGTGCATTCCTGGCAATGCGAGTGAGTATGAAGTGAGTCCTTCATACAATCTGCTTAGAAAAAAATGGAAAGCACAGGTTTAAGCAATTCAGCAGAAAAAAAAAAAAAAAATGGAGGTTGGTATGGGCTGGAATATGAAGCTCTTCACTTATAAACAATCTGGAAACTCGAGAGTTGAGGAAGTGATAGAGAGACTTCTGAATTACACCAACTGAAAAGTGAGGGAGTTGCAATCTTAATTATTTTCCTAGATCTTGCCTGGCTTGAAGTTACTATAAAGTATAACTCTACAAAAAAATAGCAGGAAACAGCACTTGTGCAAGGATTTCTAAGCACTCCTTCTCCCCAGGAGCCAACAGGCTGACTGGGCTCCTTATCAGAAAGCTTTACCTACTCAATACTATCCAAGCTGACACATTCTCAGCCACTGATACTTAGCAGCACACGTGAAGGAAAAAAAAAAAAAAAGAAAAAAGAAAAAAAGAAAAAAGCACTAAGATGTATGGCAATATGTTGAATATGATGAACTATGCTTGTATGAAACTGCCAGCCTTTACATTCAGTGAAATATACGAATATTTTCTTTCTGTCAGTTTCAAGGCATTTGGAAAAGGACCGTGTATCCGGATTACTTGCTGTGAAACTGGGACAGCCACCAATTGATCTTCCCAGGGTCACATTCTCAGTCAGTGACAGAGCAGGCAGCACGTGAGCCGACCCCGTGGAGTTTTGTTTCAGGAAGCAAAGCCCAGCAGCAATCCCTGAGATCCACAACACCACGAGAGACACAGAAACACGTGAACGCGGCTCCGCATTGGTTTGCGATGTCTGTGGGCCACAGGAACTGAAAGTCCCGTGGAACCAGTGCCAAAGCACTCACCTGTGTCTGTCACCGTGCTGGAGTCAGGCCGATCAAAGCGTGTTTGCCGGCTGACAGCACAGACGCACAGCCAGTGTTTGCAGTGCACACAGCGCCGGCAGGGCAGGGCTCACCTCACCTACCCGCCGCTGCCTGCAAAGCCAAGTACCCTGGTAGCTGCATAAAGGCCCCACGTAACCCTCCCGCAACCTGAACGGCACCGTAACGACGTATTTAAAACCGACTCGATATTGCAGCTAGTTGGATATAGAAGCGCAGCTGGCTATATTTGGTAAAGCCAAGAAGGGAGGCACAAAACGACGCTCGACTTTAGACGGGGCAGGAGTTGCGGGCCGGCCCGGCTCTTACACACAGCAGCCGGGCTCCTTGCGCTCCGACCGGGCCGGGTTACCCGTCAGCAGGGACGGGCCAGCCCTCACCCACAGCCCTCCGCCGCCCGCTTCGGCCGCTGCCTTCCATGCGGACTCACCCACAGCGGAGCGGGGCCCCGGGCCGGCCGGCGCCGCCGACGCAGCTCGCAGCGCAGCGCAGAGCAGCGCCAGGCCGAGGGCCAGGCGGGCGGCGCGTCCCCTCGGCGGCTCCATGTCGGCGGTACCAGAAGCGCCCTAGAGGAGGAAAGGGGTGAGCCCGGGACGGCTCGGGCAAGCCTTACCCTTTCGCAACCTGACCGGGGCCGCCGGAAGCCGCCGCCGCGCTCCGCCCCGGTGCGAACAGCGCCCGAACCCGGGCTGCCTGCTCGGTGCCGGGGGATCGCCGTGACGTTCAGAGCTGCCTCCTTTATTCCTAAACGGGGCATCCGGCCTGGCCGTGCTGCCAGCAAGCGCTGCTCCTGGAGCGCGGCCTCACCCTGATGGCTCTGGTCAAGCGAAACACCTTGATGGCAGGGGTGCTGCGTGCTCACAGTGCCTGCAGCCCTAGGGGAGGCCTCGTCCCTCTGTGCAGGCAGTGCTCGGGAGTCATAGAGGAGTTTAAAACACGTCCGCAGCATCTTTTGGGAAGGAAGATTTCTTTTAGTATACTCGTTAAATTGCTTCTGATTGCTTAACATACTTGTAAGAAAGTCGAGGAATACAGCTTCCGTATTAAAGGTGTACTATTTTTATTAAGGAAAGTGCTGAGGTGTACTGTAAGCTGTCCCTGTTGCTGCTGAGTCCCTGTTGCTTCATAGTTAAAGATCTGCTAAGGAACAGCCTCCTGTGAATGGCTCAGTGCCAGTTTTGTTAGCAAATCAGAATAGCTGTCAAGAATCCCCAGCTGCCCCTCAGCGTCCCCCACTGCGAGTGCTTTCTGCTTGGCTCTGCTTTCCGGTGTTGGCAAAGGCAGGGCTGGCAGGGCTGCAGGCCCCTCATTCGGTGTTTCCGTGGTCTTTCCTCTCCCACAGCGCCGCAGGCACTTCCCAACCACCACTTCTTTTACCCATATTTACTTTGCCATTAACACGGTTCCTCTTTAGAACAGCAAAATACTTTGTCAGTAATTATGGTTTCATGTATTACATATAGAATATAGGAAAAAGCCATCTTTTTTTTTTCTTCTTTTTTTAAGTGGCAGCAATGTAAAATATCCACGATTCACGGTTAAAACCAAGTTTTAATAATGTATAAAGCAAGTTTTAACAATCTCTCCCTCTGTTCCTGTTCTAAATGTGACAAAAATCCTGGGTTTTTACTTCATGGTCTCATCACTCATCAGGAACATGAATGCTACTGGGGGGAACTCCAGACTGTACTCCCTGTGACAAAGGCTGCTCCTGCTTTCCTTCAAGGGCTACAGGAATGCAGTCACACAGTGAATGCACGTGGGTTGGGTGGCAGCAGCATAGGCAGACCGATGGGAACAGCATTAGGCGCAGATGTATTAGACTGAGATGTAACTGGGCAAAGAACACCCAACGGCAGAAGGCGCTGCTCAAGTACATGTACTACAGAAACTGAAGCAGCCCAGAACACAGAGAATGAAGCTCCCCATGTTAGTGAAACAAGTTTTCATTTCTCTGATGAAAGAAGACATCTCCCAGATTTTAAAAGCTAGCAATATCCACCATTTAAAATGTATTTATGATGGTTTATAGCTGAGGACTCAGTCTTCTATGTTTATACTGCTCTCCATAAGAGATAAACACCCTGATGTTCTTCCTTTTCTGAAAAAGCAAAGGTGACACATTAAACCTTGTATTCTTGTTGGCTGGGTGCCACAGCTACATCCAAGCTGTTATCAGGTGACTGAGGCACATTATCAGAGTTACCCTAGCCTTCAGGGAAGAATGCTGTACAGGGACGCAGGAGGCTACTTCTCATGACACTGGGTGGCAGATCAAAAGAAGAACAGTTGCAGGATGAGGGCTGGGAGGCTGGGCCCCCTCCTGCACCTCTCTCTGCCTGCACAGCCCCAAGTAGCTGAGTGCCGTGCTCCCTCAGCCTGGGTGAGAGGGTATAGTACTAACATATCAAAATGGGTCATGGGTGAGCACACTAGAAAACATGGGAATCTTCCAACTACGCTCCTCTGTAATGCCAGCAACCCATTTCAGTGTTCCCAATAAGCTGAAAAGTAGGGCACTTTTCCACTGTGCTGATCTCTTAGGGAATATTACACAGGATAAAGTTTTAATTTCTGTTTTTGTTCATAGTGCACATTATTACACCCAGTACATATTAGCTGTAAAACTACAGCACAGGAAGAAGAAGCCCAAAAGGTTTGTTTGATACTATTTTCCCTGTTTCTTCCCAGCCCTATGGAGACTGATGAAAGGCAAGCTTTGTGCTTGGGGTTCTCCCAGACCCACCCTATCATGTTGGTCCTTTCCTCTCACCCTATGAAACACCTGATTCTCTGCACTCTGATGTACTCCAGTCTTTCGTATATATGCTGTGTTTTGTTTTGCTAAAACAAAACAAACTTCTCTTAACTATTAAAACCAAAACGATATCAAAGGTTATCTATGTGCTGACCTCAGCCTGTCCCAGATCACAAGATCCAAGAGACTAGCTGAAACTGGGCTGAGCCTCTCACCTATTTGCCTACAGGGCTTTAGATTTCTTCAGCAAAAAGCCACTTAAGTGGTAGGAAACACTTTTTCCATTTTCCACATACTCCATACTGCCCCAGTGTTCTATACTATGTTTTTCTGCTGTTCAACTGAGGAAAAAAAGGAACTTGTACAACAGCTCCCTCTAAAACACTGGACTACTAGCCCAAGAAATACAAAAAGGAGCACAAGTTTAGAAAATCTTTTAATTTGTTGGATCTCCATTCCAAAACAACTCAAATATATTTCATTTACTGTATTAAAAAAAAAAAAGCCAACACAAATGTTTCAGAGTTTTTATGCAAACTTTAACTTGTTGCAATATACAGCAAAAGCTTGCCAATTTGATGGCTAAAAGCTTCTTTAAAAAAAAAATACTCCCCCCAGAGAAAAAGTCTTTATTAACCTTTCATGTCAGAAATGTACATTTAAGCTACTTTCAGTTATGGACAGTACATTAATCCATCCATTAGATGTAACATCTGGTAAGGTGAACTCTATGCTTTCTCATAGTGGCGAACAGCCACCACATCACCAAAGGTAAGAGTCTGCAAGGGAAAGAGAAGTATTAAATGCTCAACCATTTTCTGTAATGACTAACACATTAAGAAGTCTGTTCAAGAACAAGATTTTTCTATAAGCTACATAGCATAATAAACAAGTTGCCAAGATTAGCGATATTTTAAGTAAGTAACTAGAGAAATCTCAAAGTTGTAGTTGCCATAATAAATCCAACTTTCTCCTTGCTTTCAAACCTAAGCAGCTCATAATGCACTTTTGCAATACAACCAACATAAGAACAGAAATGACTTCCTAATTTTGTGAATGCAATTTCTCAAATATAGCTCTGGTTTAAAACAGATTTAATACTTATTTTGCCAAAGCTGATCTACTTGCAAAATGTAGAATTTTAAAGCTAACTTCTCTATTTTCATGTTCTGTTATTCTACATAAGCTTACATTTAAGAAGAATCTCATACCAAGATAAATGCACCCTATGCACTTATGTGGCTAAAACTACCAAGTATTCTGGTTTCTGCAATTGTGTACAATACTGACTGCTTGAGTACTTCAATAAATAGAATACTGACTCTAACTGCATTCAAATTCTGAAGGAAATGCTTTCCTGCATATGCATGTAGATGTTCCCAAAAAACCAAAGCGCATAGTTTTCCTTGAATCACTGTCACATTGTGTTGCACTGACCATAAGTATTAAAGTTTTTGTTGTTTGAAACTCTCCATCCACAAGAGCATTCTCTGAAGTATTCAGAAAACAAAGCAAACTGTTTTCATCCAACAGCCAATTTACATACATTACTGTGGTTGAAGTTTTTATTTTTTCCTGCAAGATACATTCCTATGCCAAACATAGCCATTAAAATCAGCCTGGACATTAGAGTAACTTACACCGTTTATTCACCCCATACTCCTACTCCTGAAAATTCAGCAAGAAAAATGTAAAACAAAAATTACTTTTTTTTTGTTACAAATGCTATTTTAAACATTTTTAACAAGAAAGGGAGAATAAGTCCTTCTGAAATAGGAAAAGCTATTACCTCCTGTAGTACTGAAATTTTATTCTCCTGGAGAAATACTTGTTCTATGTAATTCTCTATTATTTACATGTGCATATACGGAACAAGCTATTAAAGAAATCTGAACAGACCATTGTCTATATATTAAGTTCTTGATTATTATATTTCACAACTCAACAGAAATTATGTCATGTATAAATGCATGTATTAAAATTGTGATTTGCAATATATATTCATTTGGGCATTTCCATGAACTCTAGAAAGAAAGGATGCACTTGGAGAACCCACAGACTGACCTGCCTGGAGCCACAGAGCCATCAGCAATTTTCCAGCAAGATGCCAAACAAAAAGTAATGATCTGAGAAGTCTCTACTAGCTTTCCCCTGGGTTTAGGTTCTGTGTTACAGATACCTGTGAAATTCACAAGCTTGAGGTAAATGTGAAGGAGGAGTGTTAGTGGTGTACGTGAATGCTCAGTGACTTTTGTACTCACCATTACCATTCTGCCATCCTTTATTTCTCTTACAAAGTTTGTCTCTTTGCCATCCCATTTCTGTACATGCACTAGCTTGTCTCCATCCAGGGTCACAACTGACTGTGAGAAAGAATGCAAACACTCATTCACTATTCACTGGGCTATTTGAGATTCTACTCACAGGATAAGCATGTACTTCTCAATGGAATTCTCTTCAACAGATATATGTGGACCTACAACAATAAAGTGGTCCCAGGCAGTAAAGCAAAGTACATGAATCATTCTTATTTTAAGGATGGGCTCCATACAATTCATGTTTGTGTCAAAAAATTAAAAGAATTTGTTTCTTTAGAGTTCCAGTCTCTCAGGAACTATCATTTTGGATGTGCTTTGGGATAACATTTATGTTAAGCCCCCGAAGACAGAGGGAGAAGCATTCCTTCATTTTGGAAAGGGTTACACTAAATGGTCCTTATGTCAAAAGAAGAGAAAAATGGAAAAAGGAACTCCTCAGAACTGGACAGGAAAAATGGGGCTGAAGATACAATACGCTGATTCAAAAAAAGACCCAGCATACGTCATCAAATACAATGCAATCCTGTCTTTTTTCCCTATCCTTCACAGTGATACAAGTGCAGCACAGTTACATTTTCCCTTCCACCCCACCGTACAAGGATACCACTGGGGAGAGGGAAAGGGGGAGAAAAGAAGGGATTCTCTGCCCGAGAGGTCACTTACTTTGCAGTTTCTGTCGTCGGGGGTAGTTTCATCAAATTCCTCGCCCAGTTTAAAGCTGATTTCTGTGTTTTTGAAAGTGCTCTGAGTCCTGATCACGACTTTGTCCCCCTCGCTGCTGATGATCACCGTGGGCTTGGTCACGTTCCCCACCTGCCGCATCGCAAACCCCACTCCTACACCGCCAGGGAAAAGCAGAAATCATCACCCGCTTTTTTTTTTTTTGTTTTGTTTTTTTAATACACCCTTTCATCCACACACATAGGCGCAGATAATTCTTCCCTCACTCTACAGCAGTGCGATTCTGCTTCCCGTTTCGCTTCCATCCCCGCACACCCGTCCCTCCACGTGGATGCGGCGCTGGATCGATCACCCCTCGCGGAGCCCGAGCAACGCCGCGGGGCCGGGGCCGCCCGGGTGATGCCCCGGCACAACGCTTATCTCTATTTGTCTGTCGCGTAACTGCAGGCAGCTCAGCCCTTATCCCACGCTCTCCCGTGACCCGGGGCTGCTTGCAGCAGGCTGGGGGCAGCCATCCCGACACTGAGCTCCCCGCACAGTCACCCGGATTCCCCCGGCACGGAGCAGGGGGCTCTCGTTCTCCCCAGTACCTCTTGCTATGGGACTCCGATTTATTTTGTATTTCACTGTGATGCATATTCCCGGCTCCGGACATCCCGATAGCACCTACCCAGCGCCTTCATGTACTCGTCAAAATTGTGGCTGTCCGCCAGCTTCCACGTCGCGCAGAATGCCTCAACCATGACAGCGGTTGCCTGAGCGCCAGGAAAATCCACAGGCGCCTCACCGTCCCGCATTTAAAGCCCGCGCCCGGCGGGGGGCCGGCGGGAGGGGAGCGGCGGTGGAGCCGCCCACCGGGCCGCGGCTGGAGTCTGCCCGCCCCGCCTGGAGGGCTCTCCCCGCCCCGCGGCCGATCGGGCTGCCCGAGGATTGGTGGGGTCGGCGGTGTTGGGGCGCCCGCAGGGCGGCATCATTATCCCAGCGGCGGGAAATTTTTTTTTTCTTTTCTTTTTTTCCATCTGGATGAAGAGAGTTTTCTTTTTTCTACTTGCTCTTTGAAATCCACTAGAAGCGCTGGGTCGTGTCCCTTTTGTGTCTTGCAGGAGGTTGCCCAGCTCAGTAGGACAAGCTTTTTGAGAGATTTTCCCAACCGGATTCTACAGCATCGATTCTAGATCTCAGTTCTCACAACAAAGCTCAGAAGTTAAGTGAAGGCAATTTTCTGTGATTTGGGAATAAAACCTCAACAACTGTCTACCTGGGCCAGCCATAATAACTATTAGTCTTCTCAAAATTAGTTTCAGGCTGCCATTAGCTTTTCTTTCAGGCTTTTGTGCTGTGGCACCTTCCTTTGGTCTAGGGCATTGATGCTTGATTTATCACTTTTTACTTGTCCTCAGAAGAATTAACTCCCCTCTGAACTACAGGGATACAATCCTAATTCCTCACACCATAAAACACTATGGTGTAGTAGGGACTATTTCTCTTTAATTTTCCATCTCCTTTATTTGAAGTACAGGCAGACATAAAGTGTCAGTGGTCAGAGTGCCCTCCCTCAGCTCCTTGATTTATGTCCAACTTTCTTTGTTTCTGAGGTTTCTGAACCTTTATTTTTGGGAGTTTTCAACTCTTCTGAGCTGTATTTCCAAGACTTTTCAACTTGTGATCAAAAACAGGGAGAGGAAGCTGCTGCTTCTGATCCTTCACGAATGAAGAGAGCCCTGGGACGTCTCCTTGCTCTCTCCACTCTCTGGGTCTTGTTGCACAGAAACAGCCTCATGGATATTGCAGGATAGAAAACTCGTAAAAGTGAAGCAATACCACTGCTGGTAGCTGGACTGTTCAAAGATTCTCCTGTCTTGTATATTCTTTTTTTGCAGCACTGCAGCCTGGCCTCCAAGAGACAGCCACTTCAGGATCCAACCTAATTTAAGCAATCACACCTACACTGATGGCTCAGTTCCACCAGGATTTCTCAACATTCTTAGTTAAGACAAGTATTCAGTCTTCAGTAAAAATAACGCTTTCACACTTTGCACCGTGCTTCAGATGTTAAACAGGGTCTGATAAAATGTCCACATTCCTTCTGCTTCTTAGACAGGTTGCCAAAGTCATGACACTAGGTTTTATGATGGTGAGATCCCACCTGTCAATGGTGGTGATGATCTGGGAGCAGGATAAACCAGCAAGAGGAAGTATTGCATTACTGACATCTTCTGGGGTGACCACAGCCAGAAACATTTTCCATTGCCTCGTCTTGTAGGTGCTTATGTCAGAGTTGCATTAATGTCAACAGCTAGTACAAGCCTATAGCAATGTTTTTCTGTTGTCTGGAATCACACAGCAGTGTGAAATATACTGACCTTGTGTAATTTGCTGCACGAGAGACAAGCTTAGAGTTCCTGTTAAACTCTGAGGAGACCGTGAAGGTTTCAACGGACTGCATATACCATAGCACAGAAAACTGATATGATGAATGATGTCTCCAGAGGTTTCCCTCTGGCCACCTGGGGACATGTTCTCATTTACACTGAACTCTTTACGCCACTTGAGCAGTGTTGAGTAGGCACATTTGAATTCTCTGCAAAAGGACAACTTGAAAGATGAAAATACTGTAGCAAGACAGCACTATGTAATGAGTAACCCTCGCTCCCAAAGGTCATTCAGGGTGAATGTGGGACTGGTCTAACTTTCAACCTTTGAATACAGGACACAAAACCTGCTTTTTGCTACTTTTCTCCCCTGTTCAAGCCTTGCTTCACATATCCTCAGGCATTCCAAGAATGAGAGGAGCAGCCTCAGGTCAGCTCCACTCAGCCCTTAAAAAAATTCACTTGTTCAGGAAAAAAAAAGGAAAGCAGCACAAAACTGTCACCAGGCAACTGCGATGGCAAAGTTTGACCAAGCAGTTGTCATACATGAATACCTCATACTCAGTGCTGGGAGCTGCTGAGAAACTAATCAGTGCAGCCAATCACAAAAGGCTTAGTATATTGATTATGGAAAAGTAGAAAAATTGGTGCAAATAGTGTTTGAAGAAAGGTTTATATAGCCTTCTGCCAAGTCTCTGTGGATCTAACACAGGAGGAGTTCTGTCCCTAAAGCAACTCAGTTAAACTTATCATTTCACATCCTTGTAGTACAATAGCCAGGAATAAGACATTACTCTGTAGAGTTTGGTCAACAGTTAAGGGGATATTACATTACAAGAATTTCAGATAATTCAGGGTTGACTGCATTATTCAAACATTTTTGTGTTTGGATCAGCAAAGATTCTGCAGCTGGAGAACATCTTCACATGCTCTCATGTATGCAAAGTGATATCAGATCCTAATCCCTCTGATGTTAAAGCAAATATTGAAACACCAAGGCCTTGTAAGTATAAAATTCCATTGAAAGCCAGCATGATTCAGGGTCCCAACTGATTCAGGAATTTGAGGAATCTCTTAGCATTCTGAAATACACAGGGAGCTACATATGAATTAAGTGAATCAAAAATAACGTGTAGCTGAAAGTAAATATTTCCTTCATTTACGTAGAGCAGGCTAGGGTATTCTCAGTACTCTCTAACCTTGTATGAAACCCTGATGTGACTTCTGTGCAGCTCTGATGTCAATCTAATACAGAAAGGGCTAGAATTTAGTAGATATTATGTCAGATGGGGTGATGTAGCTTCAGGGCTGAGTGTGATCTGATTTTTGGTGCTGCAGAAAAATCTAATGGCAAAGAGGGCAGCAGAATGTCCTTAACTAAAATTATCTCATATGTTCTCTAGTTGTCTAAGAGATTTGCTGATCCAGCTAATAAAAATAAACAGTGCTTTTAGTGAGTCATAGAAAATCACTAGCTTTACTCTATTGATATGCAGCTCTTCAGAAATCCTGTTTAAACAAAAGAGAGAAATGCCTAGTGAAAAAGCCACCAACATCCACCTCTGACATTATGGGCTAACATAATAAAATAGGAGGCATTACTTTTGGAGCAGCTCTCGTACAATTTCAGCATGGCTAAGTGTGAGGTTAGCTGTTGTTGAAAGAGATATGTAAATGCAGGGGCAGGGGCAATAATGACTCTGAATGAAACTTTGAAGCCATATAAATAGGGTGAACACACTAAGTTAAAATAATGCAATTTGTATAAACATAAGAATAGTGCACATGTTTCAGCAGAATAGATGATTTGCATTTGACTAGTTGGCACTGATTCTGGAAGACTTGTGTAGACTTGGTGTTCAGAACAGACCAGTTCTGAGAATATTAGTGGAGCAGAATCTAAGAATTCTGTATTACTCTGTGGCCAAGAAGACCAATGTTACCCTGGAGTGCATTACAAAAAGTGTAGCCAGCATGGCGAGGGAAGTTATCTTCCCCATCTGCTCTGCCCTAGTAAGGCCATATTTAGAATACCGTGCCCAGTTCTGGGCTCCCCAATTCAAAAACAGACAGTGACCTCTTACAAGGAATCCAGCAGAAGACGACAAATTTTAGGTTGTAGTCAGAAAACTACAAAGATTAAGGTTCAGGAACACCTCCTGTATGAAGAAAGGGTGAGTAACCTGGGTCTGTTCAGCCCAGCAAAAAAAAAGACTGAGAAGAAATCTGATAAATGTTTATATATATCTAAAGGGAGGTAAGAGGCAAATGGATGAGGCCAGGCTCTTCTCAGTGGTGTATAGCGATAGCTCAAGGAGTAATGGCCTAAAACTTGAACATAGGAAGTTTCATACTAAAATGCAGAAGAACTTTATGCAAAGGTGACAGAGCACTGGAACAGGTTGCCCAGAGAGATGGTGGAGTCTCCTTCTATTCAAGGATGTCTACCTGTGCAACCTATTGTAGGGTACCTTCAGAGGGGTTGGACTCAATGTTCTCTTGAAGCCCCTTCCAACCCTTGCAATTCTGTGATTATAACAAAGATAGAGAATGCTTTTTAACATTAGCAATCCAAATTTTACAGTATTAAAGATACAGGTAATCTCTAAGTATTATATTATCTTTCTGCAGCCCTAGTATATGCCATGGAGGCTGCCTAATACTTACTGAGAATATTTGACATTCAACATAAGCAGTCTTGAGCATTTGGATATTACCTGGATGCCTCTCTGTTCATCGAGCTATGGACTGACAGGGGAGTCACAGCCTGCCAAAGCTACAAGTCATCCCTCAGATGAAGTTGGAACCACACCCCTCTGGCATTGTCTCCTCTGATTCAAAATCTCTCAAGTGGCACAAGCCATTTCCTCTGAAGTCCTAAACTGGTAGAGGGATCCAAGTATTGTTAACCTGAATCCTTGAAAAAATCAACCTTGAAAAAATGCTGAATTCCACAGTCTTGATAAATAATTTAATTAGATTATCAATTTATGGTCCTGTTGTTAAGGAAAATATGCCTATCACAGATCAGGCAGAAGTACTTCTGAAATGTTAGCTCATGGTAGGTGACCTAGATATAATTACATACCTTCCTTGTCAATTCATTTACATAGTGCAAACATATCCCTGCTTTACACATTGGTTTGTGAGAAACCGTTGAATTATTTCTCAGTTTTCACAAGTCTAAATACATAAGCTTCCTCAAACATAAAGTTCAAGAGCAAGTTTAAGCATTGCAGTGTTAAAATAGCCTATTACTAGCTTTAAATAAGAACTAATAACAAGACAAACTTGGGGAAAACTCATCGTCTTTGCTGTTAGGAGATAACCCTGGAGATACTAAAATAAGACTGGATCTTCAGTCTAGTGTACAAAGCTATGAAAGCTTCTAACTAGAAGTTAAGTCTAGACAAATTTATATTAAAAATAAAGTGCATAATTATTGAAAGGTACCAGAATAACTTTAAAACCACCTTACT